AATGGCATTAAAGAGAAACATTTAGAACAGTAGCTGAGCAGTATTATTAAGTTTAAACTCGCGTACGAACTTCGGATAGAACTTGTTTTTTGATCGAGGTTTACTTTTATACAATGATCGTACCTTGCCGATGTTTCAGTGCAGTTATACTACGCATTTTTCGTTTTACTTTTGAATCTTTTCCATACAGAACTTTGTTTCATACTGATGGTTTGTGATTGTAATTTTCCCTTCATTTTGCAATAATTTCTTTTTAGTTAGTTCCTTATACACTCTTTTAGGTAAGGTATACCAATTCTCTGAATGGAACTAAACGACTTATCGCTATGTCCAATAAGTAACCAGAAAACTTAAGGGTGTAAAAGACCCTAATACATTACCTGACATTGAAAGTGCAACACCAAGAAAAAGGTGACCGAAAATTATGCAAATTTCAGGATAGAAATCGTTTGACAAAATATGATTACCAAAACTCCTTTGACAAAATATTATTAAACACGCCAAAGCGAACGTTTGCGCAGACGATATTTGGAGGTGGCGAGAAACATTCGCTAAAGCTCCATATATATTTCATACTACTGATGGCATTTTTCATTTTCGTTGTCCTAACGATTCGTTTCTTCAGGAAACTTCATTGGAAGTAGTCCTTAGCTTTAATACTAGGTAATCGTATGGTCACTTTAATACTTGGTAAACGTCGGCAAAATAGGAGACCAGAGCATTTCCGCACTGTCAGTTAGTCAGCCTTACTTGTGCTTGCGTTGCGCTATCTTGTTAGGTTTAAACTGGGTTTGACTTCTGTATTCATCATTATTTTAGCGATCTTCGTTATTTCACAGCAATGCCCACTTAGCATCTGTGACAAATCCTGTTAAATGAAGACTTCCAAAGCCACAATCAGCAATTGCACCGGCTCGACCGTCTATGATATGCTGATTGCAGACTTGTAGCTCTCCACAGATGTAGATTTGTCGCATATGGGTATAACGCAGAACTTGATGATGAACTGAATCTATTTTCCGTTAAGCAGAAGACCGCGCTGATTCATAATCATCTGAACCGTAATTCAATTTAAAGCGAAACAGGCTTCTGTAGATGCGAAACAGTGAGCAACGTTTCACTCTCCGGGAGAAGTTCGCCTGGATAATTAAAGGATTTAGCACCTTGAAGCACTTCATAGTTCCTCAAGCAGAAGACATGTAGAGAAAAAAGAAGTTTCATAAATCCTTTCGCAAAGGGTTTATGGGTGGAAGTTTCCATCCATAAAATATTATCAATAGTTATCATTCTTTGAAGAATCATTCTAATAAAGCAAGATTGCTTTATACTTTTCCAAATAATAGCGTAGGCAGTGTTTTACCATTATTGTTAAGCAAGGGTCAATAATTAGGAGATTTATTGGGTCTTTCCTTGGTTTTAACTATGCGAATTACAATTATTTGCTTATACGATTTGGCAAATGAATGCTCCTTTCCCACTCGACTTCAGAAAACAAAGACAGTAATCAGTGAACTACAAGACACATTTAGCATTTCATAATTGACACAGTCTGGACCTGTACTATATCTACGTATATGCAACACATCTCCTTTTAGCTCAAATAATGTAAAATCATCATTATAAGATACAGAACTGGAAAAGATGAATTTAATTTAGAAGTCAAACAAAAATCAGCGTTATATTTGCAAATTTTCACAGGACTAGTTTTAAGTAATTAGTTTAGTTTAGTAAATGGTTTCCATTTGCGCTTTGGCAGCTGAGGATGATGGTTCGGTAAAATAATCGGAACTAGCCCTGTGAAAATTTGCAAATATAACGCTGATTTTTGTTATTTGACTTCTAAATTAATACTTGTTATTTTATCTAAATAAGAATTTATTCAGAGCCCAGTCTGAGACCCCCCCCCAAAAAAAAATATGACAGGTAGTTGTTGCCACTAGAAACGAAAAAAAATGTCTCACTAATAGTATTCGCAATTTCTTTTATGGCGTTTATCACTTAGCCATCTTTTTCCAAAAGGAACATGAGTAATCGTTTTCTTTCTAACTCTTTTTATACTCTTCTGTTTGGTGTAGAGGATGTTACTCTAAAGTGGCATCGAGCCCTTATTTCTTTAACTCTGACTTTTTGAAGGCTGTAGGGTTTGAAAAGGGGGGTACCTACGGAAAGCTCCCAAAGCCTTTTCCTGTTTTCTCAACATTTCTTGATATTACCAGCTCCACCAATAGTTTCAGTATTTGGGTATAGCTATAATAAATATAGAGGCTTAGCTGCTTGAATAAAAATATTAGTAAAATCTTTCACTGACTACATCATCAACAGGCACACTATTTACAATTTCTTTCGTAAGTTTTGTAAAAGTTTGTAAAATGTCTGCCGTGTCAAATGTAAAGCTTGGAGTGGTTTGGTAAGGAATTCACTCATTTTCTTGCGAGAGATACAAAAATGAGAAAATGATAACTATTGCAAAGATCACTTCCAACACTAAATGTATAAAAAGATTTGAGAACTGGACGAATAAAAGATGATAAGATCAATGGTATAAGAGACCTTTGTAGACTCGTGGAAGTAGGTATTCTGCCCTTTACTGAGGAGATAAGGGCAATGATCTTTGATAATTTCTGCAGTCTTTCTGTCTCGTACATTTCTGTTCTTACTTTTACAAAGCGGATTATGGCCGTTAAAGTCTGCGTTCAGGGCAAATGCTTTATACGTTCATCTAAATTTTGATGGTCAAAGCGATTATTTGGAGATACATAAATGGAAACTACTAAAACTAAAGTTGGAATACTTATTTGAATGCAACAACCAGGGGGATTGTGATTAAAGGAAACGAAAAGTTAAGTGTAGTTAAAAAACCTGCACTACCGCTGACACTCACACCTACAATAAGCTTTTTCCTGATAATAGAATACTTCTGAGGCTTACCTTGTTATTCCGGTTTCAATGCCAAGCTCACCAGAATGACAAATATTGATCCTGTCTTCGATGTTAACGAGATTTGGGTGGAAGCGTCGAGAGTTCACGAAATAAGAGTGATTATTGTGAGTGACACACCTTGAACTTCAATTTCATCTATTTTCGGAGTTAGTTTTGACAAATGAATCAAATTCTGATTAAAGAAACTCTGTGTTTGTTACATAGAGATACGTATATCAATGCGTAAAAGTTACATCTATCCTTTTTCTACGATATTTTTTATTTTTACTCATACATATAATACTAATATATTTTATTTTGATTAGACTCTGCAGCAAATGTCTTGGTTTTCTGCAAGAATACGAATTTATCCATTGAAGTTCGAAAAAGCTTTTTATGTTACTGCCAGTATATTTATTCCAGGTTTTACATGAATGTATTAAATTTTCAATTATTATTTTATTATATATATATATGCTATAATAATACATATTTTCAGTAGTCAATGACCTAGTTAAAGCTTATGAAGCTTTGCAATTAAAATAGAATTCATCGTGGCCATTTGAAGATTTTATTATTCGCATCATATCTTTGACACACACACAGCTAAATCAAGGTAACGTGCGTATTCATTCGTCATCATATTTCGTTCATTGTTTTTACGTCTGTATAACAGTTAATTTCGAAAGAAGAGAGATAAGTGGCGACATATTAGCATAGAAAGTGAGAGGGACGTGCAGATTCTACTTAGAAGGCTTCTGAAAAATAATAATGCAATTTTGGTTTGAAATTATTCCCACTGGCAAATTTAGGTTTCAGTTTGCAACTTGTAGCATTATTATACGCTGAAGCGTTATGTAAGTATGTCTATGATATAAAAATATATATAAGAATCACACAACGGAGTTCAATTTTGAAGTGCTACAGTTAAGAGTGATGTGTTATAATCATGATACTATTTTTAGAACAAAAATGCATCCAAATTAAATAGATTTTACTAAATGCTATTTAAATGCTAATATTTTTGAAAGTTAGGATTTTGTTTTACATATTCCTTATCTTACATCTATATGTAATTGTCATTAATTTGTTAATAATTCTAGAAATCCGTTTCCTTTTATTTCATTGCTATATATCCTTCTTGATACTTTCTTCTACGTCAGCTATTTAAAACGTGTTAAACATGAGTCAAAATAAATTATTTTTTTCAAAATCAAGCATGTTTTTTTCAAAGTTTTCGAGAAATTTTGTCCTAATAATAATGGCTGGAGATGAAATTGCTTTTGAAATAATAGTTACTGGCAAAGCAAAAAATTTGATGCAATGTTTTTATTAAAGCTCTAATGATAAGTGCATTAATTCTATACAGCCATTTAGACTTTAGATTTAGTAGCCCAAAGGGGTGTTAGCCCAGTAACCGTCATTCGTTTCGAAACGGCATTTCGCGTTGGCTCTCTATAAATGTCCGTTTCATTTTTCAAATTGTTGCCACTAAATATTATCTCCCTGTATTATATTTTAAAGAAATTAAATAAGGAAACATCTACATGAATATATGTATGTTTCTGGCACTATAAAAATAACGATACCCATATCTATAAAATTTTGAATAATGTAGTCTCAATAAGAATATGTGCACATGGAAACTCGAATCTGGTATTTCGACTTTGTTTTTATTGTATATTTCATATTTTGTAAAACATTAACGAATTTTTGATTAACAAACTCAACGATTTCAGAGCGAGCAGTAGCAATACTTTCCGGGAGAAACATTTTTATTTTTATTTAGCATATTTTTAGGGACGTTAGCCAAGAAACTTTATCAAAATGCTCTCGAAACGTGTATGTGTGTCTAAATGAAGATAAAGCCCCTTTGGGCATGATACAAAATCTAAAAGATTTCAAATATTTCTAATTTAATAAATAATAATACTATTAAATTTTGTTAAAAATATTAAATAAAATATTCACCAAAGAACCTTTAAGCATTGATGCAAAAAATCGTAAATTATGTGATGTTTTAAACTGTTGATAATGTAAATATTTTGATGTAATTAGTGAAACAAGACATGACGCCATGATTCAATAGTTTCCCATTTTAATTTATTATATACAACTTTAACAATCTGAAAATAAATAAAGTTTCATCTTTTATACCATTGATGAAGTTAAGCACATACAACAGACACTAGTTTAAGCAATTAATAAACAGCGAGTAAAGGCTATAAAATATAAATATTCGATGAAGCTTAATAAATTTGATACAATGTTTTTGTACCCAAATTTTCATTAACAAGCATAATACATGAAAAAGAGAATTTAAAATTTCCCATATTTAAAAGATTTGTTATTAATAATTTAATGCATTAATTACGACTAAATTAAATAAATTTCACATTAATAGTTCCAAAAATATTCACACTTATAAAATTCTCACTTGAATTTTTTTGTAGGGTTGTTCCAAACAAGCCCTTACGAAATGAGGAAATAAAAGGATTTTACTGTAGCATAACTGGAATTCTTTATTGAGCTTTTAAACTACAGAATAGCATTTATGTTTATAATTAATCAGAACACAACTTATTTTTAAAATTTTATTTTTGCTGCTATTAGTTTATAATCGCACGATTTCAAAATTTTTAATTTAAGTCATTTAAGAATTTAAATAAAAAAAATTCTTTTTAAAATTTTGGTATATTGAAATTAAGAAAGATTGTTTAAATTTAAGGCCTGCGTAAATAAAATGAATTTCGTTGTTTTATTTGATCTAAACAACATCTGGTTGTGAGTTCAAGTAAAAAAGAATTTGTTGTTTAATTTTAATGTAAAAAAGTTTAAAAATTAATTTTAATTTATAACATATAATATTAAGTTTAATTTATAACAAAATAAAATTAATATTAAATAAAATTTTATATTAAAATATTTTTTTGTGTGTTTAATTTACATAAATAAAAAATAATTTCATTGTCTTATTTTGTTAAAATAGTAGGTGGTGGTTATAATGAAATAATAAATTGCTTCGTTTAACATAAGTGTAGTAAAATTTGAAATGAAAAATGATTATGTGTTTCGTTTCAGGCTTGACAGAATAAAAATTGTCTTATTTCGTTGAAATATTAATTGCTCTGAGTTTACCAGCAAGTTATTTTATCAGCAAATTGCTGTTTCGAGGCTTGTGACTTAAGTAATAGAGGCGATAATTTGCTAAACATCAGGCCTCACTTCTTAAAGGCAGCAATTAGATTTGAAAACAAACAGTTTCTAGTTACTTTAACATCATAGAAGTTACAATGTAAATTAAAAAAATGAATTGTCTTATTCAGTTCAAATCATAACTGGTTGCGTGTTTAAGAAATTTTAAAAAAATTATTTGTTTAATTTTAGCAGACTTAATATGTGTATATATAGATATATTTAGATTTAATTTTAAAGCCTACATAAATGAGAATAGTTTAATTGTCTTTGAAACAATATGTGGTGCTAAGTTTAAGCAAATAAAAAATAATTTCCTTGTTTAAATTTGCCGAAAAATGTATTTTGTATTTATTTTACTGAAATAAATGTATTTAATTTTTCTTAACTGCGCGATTATTATTCAAATAAAATGTGATAGGCAAGAAATAAAGTCCCACCCCACTTATATTATATTCAATATGTACATGAATGAGATGGAAAGAGAAGCAATTACCCTAAAATTTTAATATTTGGATACTTTAGTTTCACTGGGTCCCGATATTTTAAAACTATATTCTATTCCATCTTCCTTACACTTGTAGATTTTGTGCAGTTTTGCATTATAAAATTACATATATTATGTAGCTCAAAATGAATGAATCTCATTCAACAATAAATAATTTTTTATGCCCTATTCTATGAATAAGCATATTCATTTTGAAATATTTTTAATATAAATCGATTTAATATAAAAGTGTAAATAGATTTAATATAAAAAGAACTGCACATTTTTAATATTAATACACAACAAAAGGAATTTTAAATACTTCTGCTGTTGATTTGCTACATAAAAGAATTCATAATGTAGATATATTTAAAAATTAGCTAGAAAAACTAAAAAATATGTCTATTGTAGATAAATTCAGAACAAACTGATGTGAAATACTATTTTAAGTAAATACGTTAAAAAGCATAAACTGATAGATTACAGTGCTATTTTATTTAATAAATGATATCACACTGAGTAGACAATGCTGAATAATATGATAAATTTTATAACTGCTTTTAAGGAAAATGAATAGGAAAGAAATGCTCAAAATGAATATATCAGAATATACTTCAAATGACAAAATTTCTAAAACTAGAAATTTCGGTTGGGCAAAGTATGTTTATTTAAAATATGATGGCATTTATCTATAAGTAGTAAAATATTTTACAAAATTGAATATTAAGTTCTACATTTTTCAAAAATATATCATTCTTTAATTTGCGACTTTCTGAAATGTATATCGCTCAGTATCATGTTAATATGCATAACGAATGCAATAAATTATGTAAATAATGCCGATATAGAATATTTACCAATTAAAATAGAATCACAGTTATATTTATCATCTTCCAAATTTCTCTAATTTCTAATTTTTCAGCATAACAATTTCAGAAATTTTAATTCATTCTAAACCAATAACAATATATATATTTTATTTTATTCTTTTTAAAATAACAAGTATTGATACAATAAAAAATTCTGAACTGTAACAGTAAAAACTGCATTCATAAAAATATTTAACTTTTTTGGAGGGAAAATTTCGTCCATCTTCGGTTTTTTAATTGCTTTAAAATTTCTGTTTTATTTATCAGAAATTCTGCTCAAACATTTTTATTAAAATTTTTCATTGCTTTATTTTTAAAAACTTTTCATTACTTTATTTTATTTTTATAAATTTTTTATTACTTTATTTTCATTATTTTTTATTTTATAAATTTTTTTCTCAGAAACCCCATTCTTGGTTATAAACATCCACTTTCGCACTATTTTAAGTATAAAAATGCAATTTTATTTTTTATTTCTAGGATATACAAAAATAATCAATTTTTAGGAATTCGAAACTTGAAAATTTTCATCTTGTCGAATTCTGAGTTTGAAAACTTACTAAATCTTAGGAAACAAGAATCATTTTAAACAACGAAAAGAATGATATTTGTTATTTTGAAATATATAAAGATTTCATAACAGCTAAAGGACAAAAATTAAAATGTACTCCTGCTTTATTTAATTACTTTTGCAAAAGATAAATTAATTTAAATTGAAGATATAAGGAAAAATTCATTAATAACACACTTTCTGGGAGTTAATGAAATTAACTTATTTCGCCTTTCGTCTTATATGGCTATAATTTTTAAAACACATTTTTTGAATGTCTACGATTTACTAATTGAATTTATTTAATATGAATTTCTTCCAGTCACACTGAGAAGTAATTTAGAACATTCCCAAGCAAGATTTTTGTTAACTGTTTATGATACAAATAATGCATTTAAAAATTAGTGACATTCAGTTCTTTAAATCAAAATTTTAATGGTTTAGATTTACAAGGAAACGGCTATTTATTTCTTCATTAATACTTTCATACTCAAAGGAGAGCATTTTTGGAACAATGGTAATAAAAACAAACTTTTGTAGATAGGAAAATAATAAATATAATCTAAATTTTTCTATGCATTTAAAATAAAATATCATTTATTTAGTGAGATTTTCATCTTATATCATTAAACCTTTACCACACATTACAACATTATTTCAGAATGCAAAATAAGTAAAAAATTTAAGATGTAATAAAATTAAAGATCTAACAAAGATCAAAGGAATCATCTTTAAGGTTATAATTAATCCGTTTAATTCTTTTTTTACAATCAGATCTAATTTCATACTTAGGAAACATTAAAAATCAACATATTTTGTGATTTTATAAAGATCTGCAAACTGAATGTTTTATTTTAGCAAAATTTTAAAATACAACTTCAAATATAACGCTTAGCACACAATGCAACAAGCCTTTGGGAATTATCATAGCGACGAAGAGAAGCACAATCAACATTCTCACCTTCCTCGCCAACAGGCATCATGATACGACGCCAAAATTGCACATGCATAATTATCGTCTTCAGTAACAGATTATTGATGATGACCACTGATCACCAGAAGCAAAGTGGGAAAATAACCATGTCTTTGCACCATTCGGTTTCCTTGGCGATTTTGACGAGGTGATGACATTATTTTGAAACTTTATGAATACCCTCATGAGGAATGCAAAGAGTACTTAGACAATATATTTTCAGATTGGAACTGGGGATTGAGGAGCAGGCGTTGATCAAGGGATTTGATGAAATAATATCCAAATTATCACTTGACCCAAGCCTGTTGCTGTGGTGGTGGTTTTCTGAAGTCCTCCTCTTCAGGTGATTCATCATTCGTATAACTGACATAGCGAATAGACGTATCTTTAAGATGTATCTGCAAAATATTATACTTCCATAAATAATAGTCTACAAAATTAAAAACGTTTGCATTATATGTACAAGATAGTTACAATTAAAGTGATTCAGAGCTATGTAGATCTTGTTCTGGCTGACATAACTTCTCTGAAACTTGTTACATGAGTTATATGGGCCATCAGAAAAAGAAAATTGGATAAAAATTAATAGTTCTAATTTAAGCGTGAAAACGTGCCGCGTGAAAAACGAGAAACACAAATTGGAAATGCAAAATGTTGTTTAGTTGCTTCTATTCAATGTGAATTCTATTTGCATCAGCGCGTTTCCAAAAGCATGTTTCCATTCTCTTGGGCAGATAATCCTTGCGTGCTTTGTCATAATCAAATAAATGAAACCAAGCCAACAATAGCGCGAAGGATGTTTTAAGTAATTGCAGGCGAACAGAGAGTATTGCGCCATCTTGCACGAAGACCGCCGTCTGTAATCATCATGTTTCTTGTGAGGCAGGAATTACTAAATGTTGCAGAAGTTAGTAGTAACGGAACACTCCTAACGGTACCCCTTTTAAGACCTTGAGGAGTATCTGATATATATATAAAGTCGGACCATGCAGTCATGTAGAACGCAGAGGTTATTCATGCACTACATTGGGACTTGCAATACTATACATGCGACAGTTCCGAGTAGATACTGCTCCGTATTGAGCAAAACCCTTTATGTCTAATCACATAATGTTCAAAACCCATCCGTTGTTAATGGTTACTCTTAAAAAAAACCGGGAGGCAAAATCATTGCTCTGACGCTGTCTTCGGAGATCAGATTTTTCATTGCTCGAGCATTTTTCGAAGAATATCGGGAACAAGACTTTCTATTAGCTGCAGAAGAAGAGGCTTCTTCCACGGTTTCATTTCAAATTTGTGTACATCCTCTTTCTGGCAGCATACCCTTCAAGCCCTTTACTATCTTTTTCAAATTCTTTTTCTACATACGCCTATTCTAAAGCTTTCAGAAGTGGGATATTCTCACAGTGGATCTTAACTATTATTGCATATCGGATAAAAAAACTGGATTAGTAAAGTTCGATCTTCCTTCTCTAAAGCCATGATGAAGAAAGATTTTACGGCATTAAGTATCGGCAATTTTGAGGGTTTTTAATTTGCATAACGACTTATTTACATTGCATGAAAAGTGCCATATAGTTGTCGGAAGTTAAGCTATTATTTTTTATTGCAGTTTTCTTTCCCTCTATGCTCCGTATAACGTACATTCAAATTTATAAAACTTATAAAACAAATAAATCAATCAAAACAAGCTCTACATAGATCTGAGTACGGTCACCTTAATTATAATCATCCTGTAGGAATTTTATTACAATTCATGTAAAAGAGGCGAATAATAAAATAATGTGCCACATAATTTGTGCAAAGCAAACTAATTTGCACAAATCTAGCTTTAAAAAATCAAACTTATACGAATTTTTATTAGGAGGAAGAAAACTCAATTTAATTTAATTTCATTAAATCTGTATTTCATATTTTATTTGAACTCGAAAGCAGGTTGAGTATGTGATATGTCCGAATCCCATAGGATAGATTAAATCGTTTATCCATTGATTTCTGTTACAAGGGCCTGCTCGAAGCATAAGCGGTATACTACCTAGGGGATTCAAAGAGATCTGTCAAAAATATAAAGGCTGGTAGAGAGGATCAAAATAAGCAGATTTCAAAATGGAATGTGTGCGTAGAAATAGCGCATTGGGATTGCCATCCCAGTTAAAGGTACAAGCATTCTACTGGTTTAAATCATCATTCCCCGTACGGATTTTCAATGATACGCATCGCTGCATGAACACGAAGCAAAGGACGTGCTTGATAATCATTCCCTGTACTTGCTTTGAACAGTTGTTTCGTTTTATCTGCAGCCCTATGTATGTCGGTAAGCTCCACGTTTATGTGGTGATGCCTACTGCTCGAGATTCACACAGTAAATTACGATTTACGCCAGCAGAACGGTTTCATCTAAGCATAAGCGTATGGTATAGCGTTCTATAACCATCTTAAAGCTTCATTTGGGGACAAATTCCATTGCAAAATCTATTTTTTTTTTTTTTTTGTTTGTTTTGTTTTCTGTATTTCCCTTTATTTATTTATTTTTTTTTCGAAATATTTTTTTCAGGCTGTAGGCAGCCTCTTAGGGTGTCAAATTTCAAACGGCATCTGCTAAATTTTTCTCACAAGCAACAAATATATCCATTTTTGCTCTAATTATTAATATATCTAATTTATATGGGAGCCGTCTGTAATGAAAATCTTTCATTCTGTTTATGGTACTGAAATTAAAGATGGTTGGTGTCTTTAAGAAATGAGGCAATAAATCTTTTTTTAGACCATTCCTTCTAAATTTTTCTTCTGAAAAACTTCTTGAAATTTCATCGTTATCCTAAAACATAGCACATGCGTCCTAATTTTTAAAGTGTAAGCGAATCTTTTAGATTAAAATCAGCATTTCAAAAATTTTAAAGGCAATATACATGTACTATAGGAAGCAGAATTCTACTGTTGTATATATCCCCGTATTAAAAAATTGTTAGAACAGTTTCTGGGATTCAATATATTGCATGCATCGTTGTTTAACAAAATATTATAAAAGCAAGTTGTATGCTGCGTTTAAATTCTGCCAATATATATATAACTTGATATATCATCGGTACAATGCCAAAATCATTAATATTCATTATTTTTCTATTTTTTATATGTATTGTGAGATTTAAGAAAATTTTTGTCACGTATCTCTCCGCTGCAAGCCAATCAGTTTCTTCCGTACTGCCAGCGGATTAGAAGAGAGGAGAGAAAGAAGCCACTAAGAGAAGCAGTGGGAATTGGCGTTTTGGTAGATGTAGCATGCTAGGGTGCTGAAATAACGCCTGAGTTAAAAATATTTTAAACTTAAGTTCTTTTATTTTTAAATTATACTGGATCAATTTTTGCAAATATTGCTGCATACAGATATTGCTAAATTTTGTAATAATATGCTTACAATGGATTTATCAAGTCGGATATAACTGGTTATAACTTCCAACCTGCAACAATATCACAGTGTCAAAAGAGAAAAATGTGCACATTCTATTAAAATTACTGTGTAGATGCTGCGTTGAATTCGACTTTCTAGAACCGAGGTTCGTAACAAGGCGTATTTCTGAAAATAATTATGTTGCACTTTGATAACTTTGATTTTACTGTAATAGTTATTAGCGAAATAACTCAAGACATGGGGCCATTGAGTTTCGTGCGAATAATATCCTGAATGCCCTGCAACTGAAGCGTTAGAATCTAAAGCTTTCAATACCAACGTACTATAAAGAAAGTTTCAATGCGCTATAAACAAACTTTCAGTATGCTATAAATAAATAAATAAAATTATTCAAATAATTAAAGCTATTGAACTTTACAAATTCGTATGAAATTCATTAAAATTATTTAAAGGCAAAGAGGAATAATTATGAAACATTGTAATTATTGATCAAGCAAACAACGAGCGATACTTAAAAAAAATTCAACATTTTAGAGCATATGCATAAATACTAACCTGGTCTTCTGCTCGCCCTGGAGGCTTTCGCAGGAGGAACATTAGTGGAGCGTACACGAAACAAATTACAGCGATGCAGTACACTAATCTAAAAGAATAAATAAAATGGTAATAATCATGAAAGTTTTTAGCAGGATCTGAATGTGTAAGGGTAAACAATTAGCTACCCATTCAAATTTTTCTTGAATTTATTGGCAACATTCCAAAAGAAGATTACTTGGTTGAATTCTAAAAATGTAAGAATCGGTTTGTTTCTATCGTCTGCGAGTTGAAGTTACTGAGAGCTGCAAGCTTCAATAACAGCTTTTCTTCTGTAACAATGTGTGTATATGTTAGAATTATGTTTCTCTTGAATAAAAGTAAATATTGTTTTTGTCAAGAATGACTCATTGCTGCATAAAATATAGACCAGGGGTTCTGAACCAGGAGGTTTTCATACTTTCAGAGAGGGGAATGCGGCCAGCCATTAATTTACCTTTTATGTATTTAGTTTACAAATGTAAAAAACTACTTTTATTCAAGTTTTGCTGTTTATATATATTTTCTACACTTTCGGCTGTTTAATATTTAAAACAGCAGTAGAATCTAAAGACTCCTTTTATAAGACTAAGAATACATATTATATAAATAAGAATAGTAGGAAAATCATCTAAATCTAAATCTAGACAAATGTATATCTTTATTTTGTGAGTTTTGGAGGAGAAGAGGAAATGAAGTTTTAGCAATGATGAAAGTATCAAAAAATGTATCAAAAAAGGTTGAAAATCCCTGTTTATAATAACCACTAAAGTAAGAAGAATTTTTTTGTTTTAAAAAAAATGTTGAGAGAATCCTGCACATATTAGCTATTTTTCACTCAAGAAAACGAAAAAAAATCTATCAGTTAGTATAAATTCTTTACATAAAGGTAAACGACCTAAGCACTGTAGTTAAGATCAAAACAAAAAATAGAAGAGCCATTTTTTTCCCTTTTCATATTAGTTATTTTTCACACAGCAAAAAATAAAAGACAATTAATCTAAATGCTGTTATAGTTACAGTTAATATAAATTCTTTGCTTAAAGGTGAACGATCTAAATATTGTAGTCAAGATCAAAATAAAACACAGAGCAATCTCTCTTTTTTCCCTTTTCATTTACCTTTTTTTAATAAAAGATTATATTCTTTTTTTTATAATTTCTTCATATGCGAGAACAAATAAACTCATGATCTCAAACATCTACTTAAGAACATTTTTAGTAGATTTTAATTTAACAAATGAAAGAATTCATTAATATTTATTTCACAATGAGAATTATTTATGGACCTTTAATTCAGTTAAATAAACTATTATAAATGGCAAAACTGTTGACTGAACTCATTTTGTTCACAAACAAATGTTACGAATCCAGTTTGTAATGAGTTAGGAATCGTGAACATTTTTTGAAATGAGCAGTGTGGGCTTATTATTTAAAATATTAGGAACTACACAAAGTACAGATTTTACGCATATTTATCGATAAAGTTAAATATATGACACAAAATCAGAATATCAGTGAATTCTCCTCTCTGTACTCCTCAGAACAAGTTACAAACGACTTATTGTGCTGAACATATTGCATCCGACATTGTGTACAAAACAATAATTCAAACCATTATCATGTCTTTCTCTCAGTCGAATTCATGATAAAAATAACTTCTTGATTAAAAGGACTGAGGATTACACTTGAATGAGAGTTAAGAACACGTCATTTTATAAGAAACCTATCAATTATCTAAAATTACCTGTATGATCTCGAAAACTAAAATAAGAACTGACAGAACCATTCAGGAATGCTTTGCCAACTAAATAAAGAGGGCTTTTCTTATAAAATATGCAGCGATCTTTCAGTAAGAGAGTTAAACTTTGAAATTCAATTAATATACTTTTAATAATATTACGACCACAGATACATTACCGAAATCTGTCAATAGATGGCACCACAAAACTTTATAAATAAAATAAGATAAGCAAATGGAAATTGAACACACTCTCAAATAAAGGATTTTAATTTAAATGAATTAAAAATGTAACTCTTTGTAAGTAAGGAGATAAGTAAATGAAATTATTCTTGAAAATTTAAATACTGAATTTTTGAAAGTTTATTGCAAGTAACCCGCCGATGAAAAGAATAAATCTTCGACTTAAAATCCCAAAATAGGATGATAAAAAAAAAATACTCCAGAATGCAGCCGTAGTCAACGCAGTTGTTCAACAAATAGCATCACCTCGTCGCTCTCACCTCGTTTGTGTTTCAACCATTTTTTCAACGTCTCATAGCATGAAACCAAGAGATAATTACAAAAAACATTCCTTTCACTTGTTTGCCTATGCGAAATACAACTTGAAAATGGCGCAAATGTTGGAGATAACCTTGGTGAAATATAAAATAATTTGAAATAAAGTATTACGTGAAACTTTAGCAGTTTATGTTTTTCCTAATTCTAGCTGATTATTAGGTTCGCGGAAAATGGCAATAACGAAATTAAGAGTATCTTTTATCGTAATTTTTTTCTTTTTGAGAACAAATTTTTGACAATTACTATTTTAGTTTTTCAAAAAGTCCTTTTAGATAAGGTATTTATGTTTTCTGCCATAAATGTAAGATAATTTATCTTCTTCAAATTTCAAATTTTAAGGTATCAGATTTGCCTAGTAACGATCAACTGTATTTATGTCTTCCATAAAACTAGCAGCCATTTTGGATGTTACAGAGAAAACGTTCTAAAGGTGTATAACACTTCCTGGCTGGTGGGCGGAATGATATTGTACTTCTCACTTTCTTCTGATGTCATTTCTTGAACTTCAGATACAACTGATTTCAGTGGAGCGCACACAGTTACATCGCGACATGTACTAACAAACTCCTCAAAACTACCACTAGGGTTCGCAATAGCTTAATTAAAAATAATTCAAGATTAATACTTAATATACGTACTAGCTAAATTTTAAAGAGTGAAAAAGGATACCTGAATACAGAATTGCATTTGCTGATTGACATGCTGCTGGACACAATGGTCGCTATTGTCGAGAAATGTTTACTGGGTGTGTCTTAAAGAATAGAGTGTATTATGTGAGGTTTTTCATTAAATGTGACAGAACATTTCCGAACGAAGCTCTAGCAGAGAAACAACAGGAGAAAATATAAGTAACTTTAAAAGTTCGTGTTATCTAATGAAGCAATGGGCTAAAACCACTTTGTAATTCGTGACAACCCATAAAACTTCCTATAAGATCATATACATCGCTGCCGAATTCGAAATTTTGTTTACGTTAACCTAGTGTTCGTCTTAAGCGAGTTCGTGTTAAGAGGGTTTACCGTATTCTCACATGTGGCAGAATAAATTTAAATTTTTCTTATATCTATGAATATCATTTTTTATTAGAAATTCTAGCTAGGATAATTCACTTCACAGAATTTACATAGCGCCTTCTAGTTCATGGGAACGCAGCTAGTTCAGTTAAATTGAACCCACGACAGGTGCCAGTCGTGATTTTGCCTTTAGACTTCGTGGATGAAGGTGCTAGATAACTTAATCCCCGACGAATGGGAATTTCCTATTAGGTTAGAATCCCATTCGGGCAGCCCCGGATGGCTAGAATCCCATCCGGCGCTGCCCATCCATTTGCCATAGACTAATCCTGAACAGCTGGAAGTTATTGACTTAAATTAAAATACTTTTAGTTTTGATCAGTATGGAATGAATTAAAAAGAAAGAGATTTTTTTGATTAGATCAAAATCAGATTACATTAAAAATCAGATTAAATAAAAGCACATCAAACAATTGCTTCTCCTAGCCCGAGAACATCAAGTGTACCGGAAACCACAAATCTATAGTATGTCTTAGTTTTAAACTGCTTGGACCTTCATCCAAGTTTCTGTCTTGGAAAATAAGCACCCCCAAAAGAACCTTAATGATAAATAAACAAAGTCCTTTCTAATATCTCAGTTACCCTTAGCCTTTTGTAGATATTGCCAACCAAACAAAATTCACCAAATTAACTGTAATGATCCTAACATCCAAGAATCTCGAACACTAAACATAAATTTCAAAATTCTTACAACGAAATGCGAAGTTCAAATTATAATTCTAGTTCTAATCATTCACTCCTTTCTTTCAAACGATGAGATATAACAAAACCTTCTTAAAGTAGAGTAAATGCCCCGAAATATTAAATTTTTATAAACCAGCTTACATGAACTCCAGTCCGAATAAAGCGACTTTGATCGAGTGTTCAAGCTATTCCTCAAACAAATCAAGGAATTATCAAGGAATATCCTCAAACAAATCAAGGAATTAGATGCAAGTTAAATTGACACATTCGTAGTTAATTAGAAGTATCTACTGTTAATATCGACTAAGTATATCTACCATAACTTAAATATTATGATTAATCCAAAATTTTCCTCCTGTTTCAAGATATTATTTAAAATTAATTAAGTTCATTATTACCATAAATTTTAATTCTTTTCTGCAAATTTAATTATTCCTCCCATTATTTAGTTATTCTTTTAGATTTTGTATGCTTTTTCTGAAAACAAAACTCTAAAAGTACTTTGGTACAAAAATTCTGAAAAGAGAGTACTACTCCTGCCTCTAAGCAGTTGCTAGTCATAAAAACTTGCACTATTGAACCAATCATCTTATCACTTCCTCTACTGCTTGATTCTCTGATTCTGATTCATATCAGAAATTTTTATTTCCAGCATGCATGCTATCTTCGCGTTTAATTCAGTAATTGACAGTGACATGAAAATGAAACTCTGTAATCCTATAGTATTAATTTTAAAAAAACATTTTGAAGTGGCTTCAATTTTCAATATATTAATGAAGGGAAATTAGAGACGCATAACTAGTAAGTAGATTAGGCAGCTGAACAATTTAATGAGAGTTTTTACCAGTTCACATTCCAAAACGGCCTTCGTTTAATTACGACGCTTCACCTTGCTCTTTAACTGCATATAGATAATTTTTCTATGTAAAAGCTTTTATTAATTTTCCTCTCCCAGTTATTAAAATGTTCCAGTTAAAATAACACGTCGAATAACGATTATTGGAAGAGTTAAAGTGAGAAAAATTAGCTTCTTCATAAATTCGTCATTTGCACTTTTGCAACTAAAAATGAAGTTTCTATATTTAAACCTATGGAAGTTGTCCTGCAAGTTTATGAAAATTGAGCTGATTTTTGCTTTATTAACTCCTCCAATAATTTTTAAGAACAGTATTATTTCTCATATTCAGTTTCTTTTCGACTGTTTTTTCTAATAACAAGTAAACGATGATTATCGATTACTTGTAATTGTAAATTTATTGACAGTTAATTAACTACATCAATAAAGACTTTCCATTATATACATTAGTCCTCAATTTACGTATATTTTCCATTACATATGTCTACCGTTACTGAAGCAGGGGAAGTCATGAACATTAAATAGTACAATACTGACTTAAGAAGCGGTTTTTGTCGGAGCCTACCCTCGATAGCTTTGACAGAAGAGCTGCAACTATAATGCTTAATTCTAAAAGATCTGGTTTTCAGAAAAGCAGAAACAGCTATAGCTTCGTGTTCAACTTCTAGTTTACATAAGCTCATAAATGAGACACGTACGCCAGCGAAGGCTTCTGTAATATTAAATAAAAGGGATGGCACATATTACTACGATAAGCGTTACGATCAAATTAACGGAGGAAACGGTAATGAAATGCTTTTAGTACATGTACTTGCTAATTAACCTTATAACATGTAGCGGATTTTCCACTTGTAAATAAATTGTTTTCAATATTACTCTGACTGTGTGATTACTGTCGGTATAGTATGTGTCTATTGTGTGATGACTGTCATTGTCAAACAAGAGAATCTAGTAAACAAAATAATTCATTTTCTCAGAAGAAGAAGAAAATCCTCCCTTTTGATTTATTTTCAGCAAATTACACTTCACTATATTTATTTTTTAAATTCTTATATGTTTTTTAAATCCTTGCAGCGTTTTGAACGCCCTGCAATGGGAGCAAGTTATATAACGCTAAATCGATAAGAGGTTCATAATACTTACCCTGTAAAGCCAATTGCTTTCACTATACTTCCGCTCAAAATGGGTCCTATATAAACAAATATATAAATAAGATGATAAGAAAAACTACCCATTAATTAGAATACATTAATGATTATAAACAAGACTATAAAAGTATGAAAATTTTCAAAATTGAAATTGAAACATAGATTTGTCTTGATAAGAAATTTTTTACTACAAACGACCGTACTGAAATATTTCTAGTGGATGTATTTAATGATTACCTTTGTAATAGATAGCGGATTTTCTGCGTGTAAATAAATCTTACTAAATAAATATAAATAAGGACAGCCCCCGACAGAGGGCATCAGTGACACCCTAATTCCTACATATTCTTACGCTACTGCTCCTAATTTGGAAATATTTATATCGAAATTAACGATTTTTGTCTGAATGAAATTAATCTGATATGCTAACTAGTAATACTCATGTAGGCCTTTCTTGATAGTGCTGCTTCTACATCGAAAAAATGACAGTAATAGTAATATAAAAGTTTAAAGAAGTCTTAAAACTCTAATGAATTTACGTTTGCATTTAAATACAGCAGAACTCCAAATAACTGGACTAACTGAGAAAGCAGTCCATCCGGGTACTATTTGAAGAATTTGAATAATTGCGGTGCATTTTTCCTTCAGAAACCAAATACATATTTATCTACTATGAAAATTAGCGAATTAAAAAAAATTCCATTTCATTTTATCATTTCTTTGTAAATAATTATTCAAAAGCGTTGTTGTTTATGATGTTCGAAATTCTAGAAGTTGTTGATTTACCAGTTAGCGCAACTCGTTAGTACGACTTAGTGCTGCCATCTGTGGTCAATTATAAGAACTGTTATAAATGTTGTTCTTACCTACAGCAAAGCCAACACAAAAGGCAACATCTCCAATCGCATACACACTGCCGTATATGGATGTATGACGGATGTCCACTAAATATCCTAACATAGGCATCATGGACGAGTCCACCATACCTGAAATAAATAATAAATTTAAAAGTCGTTGTTTAAATCTTTTTTAAGAATATTTTATTTCATTATGAACTGATATCCCTACAATCAAGAACGCATGAGTTCATCAATAGATAAAATTAATATTAATCTTTAATCATGTATTTGCATAATAAATTAAATATCAATTCTGAAGACTTCCTTAAATCAAACTTTCTTAAAAGGCAAACCATTAAAAGACACTTTCTTTTTAAGAAAAATTTCTCAAACGACACATATTGTATTTCTTAAGTTTTAAAAAGTACTCTCTTTCCATATCATCAAAAGTTTAAATTAATTTTATTTCTATACAAATAAAATGCAGGAAATGAATTACTATAAGTCATCTAGCAAATAGTATTAAAATGATATGGCTCGATTTATGAGTTAAACAGTTAGTCATTTGGAAAAATATTCAATTAATAACATACCATCTACTCTAATATTAGCGCCATTTATATGAGGATAAAAGGCGGACCTTTATATTCGAACAAATAAGATATCTAACTTGGACTTTAAACTATTTTTTAGTATCAGCCACGATATCCTTCGATATTCCAACATTTTCTGTCAGGTATGTGCAAAGGTTCTATCAACTATTTATTTGAAAACGATTGACCGAGCTCAAAAAAAAGCTCAAAATAGCTCAACTCTACTCATTGATGCTATTATTATGTATAACATCTTATCATTTATTCTCTTAATACATTTTTTCTACTCTAATAAAATTTCTCTCTTTTAGTGTTCAAAATGTTTTGCTTTGCTATACTGCTTTCACTACTTCGCGATCTTCGTGTACAGTATAGCAATTCATTAAAATGTAGTATACTTCCTTACCCTCTTCCTGTTGGCGAGGTATAAACCTAAGGGAAAAAAGTTAGCAGTTTAAAGGAACAATTAAATAACTAGAAACTGCTTATTTTCTTTAAAGGAAATATATGTTTTTTCACGCTAACCAATGGTTGTACGAAACTTAAATTCTTGATAGAAAATATTTGATATTTCCTCTTACCTTAGTTTTTGAATAATTATAATAATATGAAAAAGTACATTTAATTTAATGTTACAGATAAAAATATCTATCAATGTTCTTACTACAAATCGGGGTATATATAATGTAAATAATATAATCTGGCTAGATACACGTAACATACTAAATTATGTCCAAATAAAATAAAACCGAGTAGATATGATCATTCTTTTAAAATTGATAGACTAATAGTGAATAGAAGGAATTTAGAAGCGATCTTATTTAAGAATATGTCATTGCGCGCAACAATAAGACTTCTAACCTTTCTTCTATACATTGTCTTAAATCAAGGCCAACTTATACCCAGTACAGAGTATAAGTTGGCCTTGCTTGAATACAGTAGATTATCAGAATGTTGCCATTTATTAAACCTTAATTTTTTCATATTTAATCAGCTTGTTATCTATTAACAAATGATCTATTAAGAATTAATAAATGCACTCTGGAATAATTAAAAGTTTTATTTTACTTTTTAAATAATGTGTATATAATTGCTATACATTAAAATCCATTTAATTTATAATACATCCAAATGATAATTTTTTGAGAACATAAAGCGTTCTTATTATAAACAAAATGTGTTTCTAAGGTCATATGTTATACAACAGGTACAAAATTATTTGCTTATTAATTTTTAAGTTCTACGTGTTTTAATAATTTTAATAGTTTAAGTTTCATATGTTTCTAATGGCAAATTCTCTTTCTCTTTAATGGTAAAGTTTGAAAGGGAGATCCCAAATTTTTTATTATTAACTAATACTTTATTAACAATCATAAAATTAAGACAGCAATGGAAATATTATTAGCAAAAAGATGTATTATTTTGTTCTAACACTCGCTAAATAGAAGCAGAAGTAGCTATAATTATATAAATGCGATTCACAACTACAAAGTAGTCATTTAGATGTGGAGAAAAATATTGTATTAAAAATAATTCATGAAATAAAAGGAATATTTTACATACCTATAGCAAAACCTATTCCAGCATTTGGAACGATGAGATGAGTAATATTTCTAGCCATGGGAATCTAAAAATGTCATTAATACAGCAAATTAAATATATACGTACGTAAGATATGGAACAAGTATGGTAAACTTCTTTAATTTATATAACTTTTATATCCGAGGAAGTTTTATAAACTTTTAATTTATAAAATTGAGGAAGTTTTATAAACTTTTAATTTATAAAACTTCCTCAAAGTTGGTTTTAATTTGATTATCCTTTTCATCCTAATAGTATTAATTTATCACAAAGTATTTGAACTGCGCCATTTCACATTTAATGCTTGTCATGTGACTTTTATATAGCTAACTTCTGATTCACTAAACTGCGGATTAACTGTGTCTTGTCTTAAAGAAGTTAAATTTGTTTGCTTTGAAACAATGGAAAATTTATTATAACATACCATCATAATGAAACAAAAGGAAAACTGCACGTGTTTCAACTTCGAGTCAGATTACGAAATATTCTTAGTCCTTGTATTCGAATGCTAAAAAACTGTCCTATTTTTTTATTTCTCAATGTGAACCCCCTTTATATCTTTTTAACTTTTGAACATCTTTAACTTGTCAATTAATTCTCCGACTGCTAAACAGAATAGAATTAGTTCATAAATTAATAGCTTTGAAAAAGCACAAAAATATCTTATTTCTCTTATTTTCTCTGATTAATTACTTTTATTACCGCGAGCAAAGAAATTTTAAATACAATTATTTGAAACTGGAATTTATTTCTATATCTGATGACATTCGAGGATGATATTTTAATTAATACTTTTGTTAAAGAGCGCAAGATAAAAATCAGCTGGATAAAACAAATTAGAATCGGTTTCACTTTGACAGCTCAGCTGTTGTATTATGAAACAAATCACAAAAGATCTGATTTAAAACTGAGTAGGATTAGCAAGCCATCGCATGATAGAAATGAAAATTATGTTAGCGAAGGGAAGTTAATTTTGACATTCAATAATTCATGACTTATTTTCAAAAATATACTATATAATGATACTTAGAAACAATACGGAAATAGTTATAGTTTGAACAGTTACTCACCAGTATGAGGCATATACCTATAACTATTAGTCCAACCATGGTAGACAGCCACCTGCGAAAATAGATAATAAATATTATAAATTAAATTAGTGATTTTAAAACTTTTTTAAGAATCAGTTAATAAAAATATATAGTAGATTTACGTAAAGCTGTAATAAACGTAGAACTTTTATACTGAGGTCTACGAAAAGCTTTCCAAATTGAAATGGAAATAGCAAAGGCGGTAGGGATTCAGAGTACACTTTTATCGAGGAAAGAAAATGTGTGTGTCATTAGTAAGCGTAAGCACAGAAATTCATATTACCGCAGTATTCGAATAAATATATAGCGTCTCGAATTTTGCATACATGTAAATAATTTTAGTGAAATTACGTATGAAACTGAGTATTCTTTTGTATAATGTAACATGAATTGGTTGAAAGAGACGAAGCTTTACCAGAAAAAATAATTATAGGGGCAAGTCTATTTAACATTGAGGTAACATCTCTTTAAATTGGCAAGATATCGCCAAGCTGGTGATGGTTTTGGCGAATAATTTCAGTCCTCAAATTTGAAATCTCCAAACTTGGTCCGGTCCCTGTATAACTGTAAATGGTATTATAATTGAGTAACTGTAATTGATTCCTATATGTAGCATCAACAGTATCCGAGCCATATATGTAACTTTAACCGTATATATTTTCAAGTAATTTCGAGAAATGAAAGGTACTAGAGATTTCTCAGCGGCCGGGATAAAACTATATAAGACCGTAGGTAGCATCAGCCTTCAGTTTTCTCAGTTCAGAGTCGACTACGGACTATCTCTGTGTTAGCTTCGCTCTTTAGATGCGTTTTGAATTAAGTTTTGTTTAACGTTCTTAGTATCTTGAAGTAGTAAATATTGAGAGTGCTCTCTCATACCGAGAAGAACTGTACCAGTGTTTTTGTAGAAGGCTCCAGAACTGAAAAGTGTTTCTTTTGGTAAAATAAATTTTATCAAGCAATCTTCGGATCTGTGTGCATTCAATTTATTACGAACCCTTATGCACACAACAATAGTATCCAGCATCATTGTAAAATATAAGCACTATTTTGTTCTGACTAAACAGTATATTTTTATTTACAAAATTATACGATCTAAATGCTTGTATTTCTAGCGATTACACTCCTAAAGCATAATCTGTAAATTTTGATTAGCTGTCTTTGTTGTTTGTTGCTTTCTTTGTTTGTTTGCATGATATCTAAGTCCGCTCTTAGATATCATGCAAAATTCCCATATGCTGATATGCGTGATAGTCATGGGTTGCCGTCATACGAGGTTGCCGAAAGAATTCTCCGAAAATTTTCATAGATGCTTTTCTTATGTAGCTTCACAATTAGCGTCCTCTAGTGTTATAATGTTCTCTATGTATATCCCATCTTCATTGTCTTTATTATTTCTGCTTCATAACAAAGACGTTTTCTAGTTAAACTCTGTATTTCGAGTTAGGATTTTAATAAAGGCAAGAGGAGGTTACCTACCTTCCCATTCTATGCCCCAAGGGACCGAAAAGATTCGTTCCTATCAGGTAAGATATGCTGGCTGGAAGGAAAGCTGCACCCTGTTGCCACTTCGGAGCATTCATAGTGTCCATCATCCATAATGGCAGAGATGGCTCCAAAGTTGCAATTCCCATGTTGGCAAAAGTTATAGCTCCTGTTGGGAAAGGATATATGAAGCATAAGTTTTCTATATTTCAGGAGAAATAAAGAAAGATCTGTCGTTTTTTATGGCTAAGGAAAACATTCTATTTATGAAAACGTTATAGTAATTGAAGTTATTTTTCAACTGCAGATTTCAAATTGATGTAGAAAAAGGATTTTAAATAAGCAATGAAACAGCATGGAATGTTTAAAAAAGTGCAGCATTAAATATCTCGAAAGGAATTAAGCTTGGAACGTGGTTCCAGTTTAAGAAAGGATTAAATAATTAAATGTCATAATTCATTACCAAATTATATAAAATAATGCCATAATTTTTATCCTGTCGCAGCTTTTAATGAAAATATACAAAAATTTAAATTTTGATATGTTAATTCGGCTAAGAAAATCTCAGTCAATAAATACTGTTCTTTATTGAATCAAAACGCTTTTAGGGGTTAAAAAGTCGTTCTTTTAATACTGATATATTTGGATGAAGCCTTTCTAGGTTGCAAAAATACCATCTTAAAACCCACTTTTATCCGATGAATATTGCTTAAAAGAATAGCTTTAAAGACCCAGACAATGGTTAAAAGAGTTGTAAAGACACAATTTGGTTACTTGAATATGTCAAAGCCCATCCGGGCTATCTGCCTTAGGGAAGGGATGCCTTTGAGGAAGACGCTCTAAGAGAATGTGGCTCTTATTAAAGTTATATATGGGGAAAATTAAGAAAACCGATCATGCACCCAGTCCGTTCACCTTGGATTGAACTCAAAATAATGTGCTTAACTGGATGATAAAATTTCCCAAGATAACACTTCGTACACCTTCATCTAAATAGCTTTGAATGTGGCATTTTGTTAAATATTTCAAACTGCGTACCTCCTTTATAGCAACTCCATCTTGTTTCCTTGCTGCTGTCAAATATATATTCCGTGATTAGGTTTGGCTTAGTTTGATTATGGCAAAGACCACGAACGCTATCTGTCTACAGGGAAGAAATACCTTCGTGGAGGACTTTCCAGAAGAAACACATTCGTGTCCACATCACACACGGAGAAAACGCCCAGGCACCAGCCCGTTCGCTGAAAAACGAATCAAAATCAAACTACCAGTGTTCAGCAACTTTAAAGCTCGGTCACTGCCGGGCCTTTATACCAGACAAATAGACACTTTCTATATACATTTCTAGTGGGTATATTTTGCTAACTGAAACTAAAGAGCATCAGCTGAAGTTGTTACCATTAAATGTAATGCAAAAGCAAACTTCAAGTCCTCATAACCATTTTAAACTGTTATATTCAGGAATTTTGACCTAAACGTGAAGTGGAAATAATTAACAGCAGTTTCGTTGTCTTAAATATGTCACCTGCTTTTGACTACATTTTAGCCTCTGAATCCCCAAATAACTTCAGTTCTTCTCTATCGCTTCCATATTTTAAACTACAGGATACCTCCTCTTTGTTCCGAAAGTCATACAAAATATCTAGGTAAAGGGGAAAAAACGGAAAACTCAACAAATGTGTATTTCACAAAAAATAGTTTTATTCATACAACGGCTCTATATAGCTAAATTTCGTTTTGAGAAATATTTTTTTTACCAAATGGTAAACTCACATATTAAGGTCAACATTTAAGCTCGTGGCTTTTTCTGGTATATTAAATCTATAGACATTCTCACTTGATACTCCAACAATATTCAGCCATCATATGTACATCTTATCTTCCTTGGTACTATGGCTCCATGACTTTCAAATCTTGGAATCGCTGACTCTGCTCATTACTGACTGCATCAAGAGTTTTCGAGAAGTTATCAAGATGGCTATGCAACTAAAAAATACGATTTGGTGCTCAAGTTGCTTGCAACTAAGCATTTTAAAGCTCCCCAAAGGTTTTGGACAATTTTGCGTATTCCACGAAAGTCTTGGATAATGTTTTTGAATGTCAACTGACTACAGGTTTAAAATCAGTATGCCTATTTACTCAATAGCTCCAAACTCGAAGTCAACAAAAGTTGTAAAATGTTGTTCTCCAATGTTTAGTGTTATCTACACTGTGATCTCATATTAAAAAATAAATACCGACAAAATGAAATTTTATTTTTGGATTTCGTATACATTTTTGCAAATGTTTTCGAACGAACGACTACGCTGAATTAAAATCAAAGCTAGTGAATTTAAGTTATTGTTAGCGGATTTGATCTCTAGCGTAAAAGCTAGCGACATTATGAAATAAAATTGCTGGTTAATTTCATGGATAGAATTTTATAGAAATGTACCTAAGTATGAAAACTGTCATTTTGGGAAAAACATGAAAAATATATCAATATATATCAACTAAATTTAAGAATTTTAAAAATTTTCTTGCAACATATTTTGAGTGACTGCAGCTTAAGTTTGTATTTATTTTGTTTCCTAAAGAATTTTTCTTCTCGAGTGATTTGATTTATCATTGTTTCAACCTTAAAGAAAGGACTTCGGTCGATTTTCCGAAAGTTCTTGCACGTATTAAACTACGTATGCATCAAGTTTTGAAATTTTCAGCGACTAAGGTGGATGATAAATACCTCCTTTATAATATATAACTGTATCCCCTCTTTATGTTTCGACGATTTTACACCGATAAACTTCTTTTTAAAAGGTTTGGTCTGTCCATGGATGTGCTCAAATAAATGCTCAGATCCCCGAAAAATACTTTTGTTGCTATCAGGTGTAATTCTGAAAGGAAATGCTTATGGATAATATTGTCGACATAAGAAGAGTGTAATAATTAGGAAAAATATTAAAATTAAAAAAATCACATTTAAAAGCTATTTAATAAAAAAATCTTTTAAAGCATTCTTTCTTTATAGAAATAGATTATGTTCTCTTAATTTACATCTTTTACATTAATTTACTATTGCCTGGTACTTTCAAACTTACGCATTTTAGAAAGTTTTGGAATCGGGAATATTCACTTTATTTTATAAAATCAAAACTGGAAAATCGAATATCCTGGAAGGCTAATTTGTTCTTTTTCGTCTGAAGAAAATATTAAGTAATCTTCGAAAGAAAAAAAGGGAGATGAGGAAACACACACAAACACACACACAAAATAACTCTAAAAGAGAAATTCTACCACTAGCTGACTCACAAATATTTTAGCCATTTTTACTTTTAAAGCTGCTGCATCCAAAGTTGTATAGAATAAGCATCAATAGCTTTTCTAAGCCATTTTAATTTTTAAAAAGCATGTAATTTCATGCTTTACTGACTACGTTCGATTTTTAAATGAGATTTCTGACCACAGACAACTGAATTTAGCATATTAGAGTTCAATTTCCTGAAGTAATGCAATAAAACACATATTAATCATTAAAACACAGTGGAATGTTAATTATAAAAATTTCCTATTCGCAACAATAAGACTAGAAACCAAAATGTATTTAGGGTATATAATTCGCCGTTAGCCATTAAGATTTTAACTTATCCGAAATTGTCATAATGCGTAACACCGGAAGTAATTAAAATTGCAGATTTGATTATAAAATAAATAATTAATGATATCAAAATTTTTAGGAAAGGTAAATTACAATGAATATAAATTAATTTCAGGAAGAATGCAAAAATAAATCCTCTTAGGTTTATTTCGTTTCATAGAAATTTCTTCTTAACTTTATTTCCTCAAAAAATTCACAGTTGTCTCGGAGACAACTACATATAAATTTTATTACATATAAATTAAATTAAATAATGATTTCGAAGAAAATTTTATGAAGTTTGAAGACATCGAGGATAGATCTCTGGATTGCTTTGATAAAAAAAAACAGAACTTTATCATTGTTATATTTGCTTTAAAAAGACAGTTAATACTTAACTTTTGAGCAATATTCGTTGACTCTCTGTGTCTTTCTGGCATTCTTTAAGGTCAGATAATTTCAAGAAAAATAAACGAAACATTGCAAATTACAGCCTTTCAACAAAATTTTAATCACATGCAGGTTCATTCGCCTTCGCAGGAAAGAGATTATTTTTACGAAGATGTAATAGGAAGATCATAATAGGGAAGAAGCAAGTTCCATTAATGTTCAAGAAAGCTCAGACATGGTGGTAAGAATGACTTAGACAACGGAGCACGGATGTTGGGAATGACAAGAGATTGATGTGAGGAAAGAGATCATCTGTTAATACCTTAACGTCATTTGAAACTCTTACAGAGAGCATGTCAAAATAGGAATTTTATGTCTGGGAATTATAGGTATATCCTGTTCAACACATAGCACAATTTGACCGTCATTTGAGCGGCCAGGAATCACAATCTTCGATACAGTAAGTTTGAGTTATGTCCTCTTCAGTGATGAGTCGAGATTCAGCACACGGAATAACTCTCCATGTGTCTTCATCTGGAGAGAGCCTGAAGTCCGAAATCATTTCTCCAACTTTAAAGAAATTAAGGATTTTGGTGAAAATGGAATCGTAGTGGGAAAAAGGCTTTATTTGGATGGCCACAGAGTATTTATTACATGTCACGATGCTTACACTGTGGTGACACAGTGTTATAGGGATGAGACCCTCGAACCAGTACCTATCAGATAGAAGCCTACTTTTATGGACGGCAACGTGAGACCAGAGCTCAAATGGTCCACGAATGTGGCCAGTGAAGTCACCTGACCCAAATCCTGTAGAACATGTTTAAAATGCTGCAAGGAAGCGCAATTGCTAGATTTCCACATTCACTGAGAAGTCCAGGTATTAAAATACTTGCATTTAGAAGAATGCAATTTTCTGCCATAAACTATGGTTATGAACCTTATTAAAATTTTAACAGCCCATGCTGGAGCGAGCAAAAATGTTTGAGTGGCTACCCGCCTTGTTAACTAGATCATTCTGGATATAGGATGTCATGCTTTGACCATTTTGGCTTTCATTTATTCCTTATTTATTTTTTGTCTCATAAGTAAGTTTTGGTTGTCTCATAGTACTGAACTGTAAAGAACTTCCATTACAATAAAGTAATTATTTTTCGAGATATCATGGTTTTGCGTTTTTGACTTTAATTTTAGTAATCAGTGTGTAAATGAATCGCACGAAAACAGAATAGAATGTAAATTCATGTTTTGCAAAATGTTCTAAATATTCTCGAGTCATGTATTTTGGTATAATTCTATTACCTCAGTGAAAACTGTTGTCTCCAACATTTTCCATATGAAATGGAAATAGCGATAATTTCATCACAACGGGGAAATTGGCAATTAGCCTTCTTAATTAGAATTTCTAAAGAATCGTTGGTACCTAATTTTCGTTCAGAATTGCTTTCTATTCTGAGGGAAATGTCTGCGATTTCTAAGGTAAGTTTTATGCATGTAAAAATTCGAAGCATACGAATGACTTAAGTATTTTGAGCTGAGACTTTGAACGGGAGCGAAAGAAGAATTGAGTATCCAAGTGTAAGTGAGAGTTTTTCTACTAATTTTAGAGCTGTAGTATTTTGTAAGCTTCATATTTATCATAAATGCTTTGATATACATATTAAACTATGATATGGATTACATTAGAGATTTTTTGTGATTTTAAGCATTTTAAAAATTAGTTAAAGACATATTTATCATACTTCTCGTATAGAAGCATTTAGGTAGTATGTATAGATAGTACGATAACATTTAGTTTAATCTAGGGAGCGACTTGTAATTAGTTTTCATTCTCCTTCTCGCTGATATTTTCTCACCTTATATTAGAAAGTAATATAATACGGTACAAATTCCGAGATCTGGAATCGTTGAGACTCGGGTGATTCCAAATTTCCGGATTTTAGATCCTCAGTTTAAATTTAGTGAGATGACATATACAGATTACAAAAAAATATTTATCAATATTTCTTTAAAAAAAGGTATTTTCATGAAGAAAGATTTTTCTGAATCACCGTCAGTGTAATTAAAATCTGACTTAGAGCCAAAATGGTATATTTTCTGGATTTCAAATTAGATTACAGGTATTCGTCCTTCAGTTAATTGATTGAGGATTGGGGCATTGGCACTGCAGTGTAATCATCTTCATTTATTATTTCTTCTAATGTTCTATTAATCGGAAAATTTCGCGCTTGTTCTTATGATATCCGAAAATCTTCAAATTCGAGGCTCTCATTATCAGCAAGAAATTTAGCAACTGGCTATAAGCTAAGAACCTTTTAAAATACCTGTTAATAAGTCCCCCCTCGATCTTGTAATGCCCCACACATCCGATTTCATATTAGAACATTTATAGTATTCTTAGATGGCCTTACTTCAGCATCGATTTTTAAAAAGCTACTTTTTATCTGCGCTTCAATGCGCGCAATTAATATCTATTGGTTGATTGATGAATGTACTACATCTTCGGAAAATAAATGAACCGGACACTTTATCACTTACTAAAACTGTAATTTCGACAAGATAATGATAATAGACGGAACAAAATAATACGCTGCTTCCCCCGCTGCTGTGCCAATAGAAGAATACTAGTATGACCCCCGCACTCCAAAATATGTCTTCGGATATATGCCTCGTTCAGATGAGGGCTTTTCGGTCATAAGAGGTATAAGTAGAGTTTTGTTGCTATAGTTTTGTCGCTATGTCCCCAAAACGTGTTTAAGGATTGTGCCTAAAGGCCCTAACTTTATGCCAACTTCACATACAAACCAACCAATCACACCGAAGCAAACATGAACTGATATTCGGTCGACTCCTTTTGCTGAGTCAGTTACACATCTAAGCATGCTCAGCTTTATCTTTTGAAATAGATAGCAATGTCGAGATTCAAGAATGGAAACTTTAGTCTTTTAAATCCTTTATTATGTATGCACTTACATACAATATGCACAATCTTCAAACTGTAATCATAGATGCAAACACTCACATAAACAATTTTTGGTGCCAAATAATATGCCTGTTCGCATTCAAATTACATCGACAACCTTCCATGTTGCCGTCAAAAGACGTTCTGAAAAAGAGAAGGTTTTGCTCTGCTATAACGTTTGGCTAATTTGGAGCTCTCAAAAAAACACTATAACTTCAAATATTCCACACGTTTCCCTGACTGGTTAGGACTTAAAATCCTATCACACAGGTGTGAACAGATCTAGGGACTTTTACGCCTTGAGTTGCAATTCCTTATGACAGAAAAGCTCTCATATAAATGAAGTTTTATTTACTGTTTAGGAGAGAGAGAGAAATGCTACTCTCCTCACAAAAAAACAAGAACAGAAATTGTGGTCATGGGTAACATCACTCAATGTATTGCCATTGATTACACGGTGTAAATTCCCTAACTAGCAGGTGCTTGTTGCCGTACGTACAGAAATCTCAGTCGGGTGCGAAATTGCTGTTCCGGCCCATCTGGCTTTTTCTTGTTAGTCAGGATATTGGAAGTCCAAATTCTGAATTTTATAATATGCACATAAATAAAGGTTGTAGAGACATTAGATATTTTTTGGAAACAGAAAGGTGAAAAATATGCAACGCCATTGCCGGGAATCAAACCGCGGACTCTCAGTTAAGCGCTGAGCGTGCAGACCACTGCACCACGAAGGCTCGCTAAGAAGGGCGGGAGAAAAAATACCTTATATACTCCCCCTTTTAAAGAGCGACTGGGGTTTTTAGGGGACCCAATCGCCAAATTCTGGGTGAATCATCATCCAACACCCTTTCAGTTCGGGCGCCACTGTAGAGACATTAGGTAATTTTGGAAGCAGGCAAGATGACAAATTAGCAACGCCTTCACCGGGAATCTAACCGTGGACGCGCTGAGCATGCAGACCACTACACCACGAAGGCTCGCTAAGAAGGTGGGAGAAATACCTTATAAGGTATTGATGTTTTTAAAAGAAATAGCGTTAAAACTCTCTAAAATGTTTGATTAATATATATGCAGCGGAATTGCATTTATCCGAACTAACTGGAAGAGCGATCTATCTGGATATTTAGAAGCATCAGAAAACTGATTAGCCTATTTTCTGCATTTCTAATTCGTGGCGAGGAAATTCTTTTTGTGTCGATTATGATATTTCCTTCATTGGAGGTTAGTGGCATGATTAATGGGCTTGCAATAAACTACTACTATTTTAAATCACTAAACATGCAAATATTCATTAGATAGTGATGTTATAGCTTCTTAAAATGTGTATTATAATTATTTTACATTTTTACATCATTCAAAGCGATCAAATATTACAGTTACGCTAACAAATTAAATGGTAAGCATAATTTTAGGTGGTCTTCGCGAGATAAGCAAATGATCAGGATAATTGTAGATCCTTATCCAAATAGGATCCAATTATCCCAAGCTGTGGATAGCTGAAAAGAATGTCGACTTTCAATTATCTACACTTTGCATAAGTAGAGTTCTGTAGTATTTTAAAATTTCCAGGGAATCTTTTGCTCAGTACTTGAAAATAAGAGTAAAAATTAGCATTAGCAGTTCTGCACGGTTTGAATACTGGCTTCAGTTATAAATAATTATAGAGCCATATATTACTTTCTGTTCTTGGTATCACTCCTCCATAATTTAAACACTTTATGTAACTTATTTTCTTTGAAAATGAACTTTTTGAAATTTTTCTCAGTTTAATTAAAATTTTTAAAAATTGTATTATACGACTGCATTGTATTAACTGCATGATTTTAATTACGAAAAATAGGAATTAAGAAGCTACTGCGGATTGCTTCACACAGTTCTGCTGTTGATAAATGATTATAAATCATGTGTCTAAGAAAAATGATGTTATGTAACTGCTATAATGGCGACTATTAGACATAAAAATAGTAATAAGAAACTCGTAACTGAGAAGGCAAAATTTGGAATTCATTGCTAAAAAATAGGTACATATTTTTAAAAATGCTGTAGGAAATTGTTTTACAGAAAATAATTAGAAAGATTTAACTGAAATTAATAGTGATTCTAAAACGCACTTCTGAAGTTTATCATTGGGCCTTCGGAAAAAAAACACAACATTAAAATTGACAGTGAATATCTGACTCGCGAAAGGCATTAATGTGAATAAGATTTGAAAATACATTATTAAATGCTCGTCATGGAAATCACATTAATCATTAAAATTAATTCTCTAATGTAAATAATGACTCTACTGAATTTCACTTAATTCAGTAGATAATATTGCTTTAAATATAACTCTTCAAAATATCTATTAGGATAATCGATTCGAGTAATGATAATATCATGCAACAACAAAAACAATAAATAACTATATGTATTACCTAGCAAATAATATGCAATTTTCCTGCAGAGATGGCACATAAAGTAATGTTGTTAAACTAAGCAATATTAAAAAGATAATTGAAAATTATAAGCTAGAACAAACGACATTAAAAACTGTCTTTTAAATAAGAATAGCTACATTAAAATAACATCAAAATAAACCATACTAAAGAAATAAAAACAACTACTATCAAGCCTTCTTTTCAGAGCAAATAACAATGGAATAAGGAAATTTCTAATGTAATAATGATTGTAGTAAAATATTTGTAAAGGAAAACGACATAGGCGAATGATATTAAAATTTTCAAAAACAATAAAAAATAAACAATGTGATCTTACTTTACATAAAATAAAGCAGAATGCGTTACGAATTTTCTTTTTTACTCACCAGCTGCAATTAATATATAAGGATCTCGAATAAGCGTGAAAAGAGAAGCTCCTTCTTGTTCTTCTTTAGTGACTTTGGGTTGAAGAACCAATAACTGCAACACTGTTAGGAAGAGGAATCGAAAATAACATTAGATATAAAATGGCCGAAAAATTTTGATTAGATTTGAAGAATAATATGCTGAAAAACTGAGAGAATATAAATTATGGGTTAGGTTGTCTAACTATGTTAATGCGCTAAAGGACAATCTGTATGAGAAAAGTATTACTTTCATGAAGAAACCTACTAAAGAGAACTGACTAGTATATACGTTACGCAAGAAATAGAACTACCGAGTTTTCAGCAATAAATTATTACAATGATTGGGAAAAAAGCTGCGTTAAAAAAATTAAGCGGTGGGACCATTTACAAAGCTCTCGAGTAAAATCTGTTAATCAATAGAAATTTTTTATCATTTATGGGAAGACTTCTCACGAAGCCTCAAATAAACGAAAGGATGTTAAAATTAAATGGAGTGTAATATTAAATTACATAAGATGTTTCAAAGAGATGTTACAAGATGATATATACAAAATGTTGTTTACTCAGCTAAATATTGTCTCGTAGATTTATGGTTACAGTTTAAAAAACGAATGATATAACAAAGACTTTTAAATTACGGTAATTTTGCTCATGTGATACTTTCAAGTAAAAATATGAAAAATATAAGGACAATGAAAATATTTTTTCCATATCCGTATTATTCAAGCGATGCATAACAGGCGAAACATTTTAGCCAGCCTCGTAAAATGTTGCCGGAATGTACAAGCAACAGATCGCCGAGCTCAAACTGTTTCACCTAGAAACATCCCGTTGAAACTAGTGATGGTAGAAATGCGTTTCTCAGAAACGTTTCTTATAACATCGCTCATCGCTATACGGGGTAAGTACAGTGATGAGCGATACTATATGAGATAAATATACTAATGTAAACGTGGAGAAAACCATGAAATATTCATGCAAGCCTACTTGTTTGCCAGGATTTGAATCAGCATAGATCTAGTAAACGATAATGAAACTTTAAATAATTTAAGACCACTCTAAGAACCTGCCAGATTTATATTTAGGTTAACAATTTATATAATAATTCCAGTACACCAATAATGATTAGCTATATTTGAATATGTGTTCTTATGTTGTAAGAATACCTGCCAATTTGTATAGATTGAAATTGTTTATTTGTGCTATTTATAATTGTATAATAGAAATTTAATATTTTAACTGCCATGAAAAAATTAGTTGCAGTTTTTTTAAACATGTACATTTGTAGTATGTTTGATTGGTAAATATTCTAACTGTAATAAAAAATTAGTTGCAGCATTTGAAACATGTGTATTTTTATGGTATGATGATTGGTATATAATATGTGCTGAATAATTATGTATTTTATGTCTATTTTAATTGGGAATTAGTTCCTGTTTTCCATTAGACGTTTTATTTTAGAATATGTGCTTTATATTGTTGGAATACCGGCCAATTTGTATTGACTGGAACTGTTTAACAAATCTGTAGTTTTGCACAATTTAGAATTGTATTGAAAACTTTAAGAATTAGTTTCCTTTTTTTTATCATCTGGGAGCCAAGTCATTATTTACAAAACATTTGCTTCTGTGGATAATAGTAAAATAGTGTACATATTACAATGAAATTCCCAATTGCAATTCATGTTTGTTTTGTGGATAATTGCGACACAGTGTGCAAATTGCTATGTACGCACATAATGAAGTGTGCTAACTGTTAAGGACACGAAGTTATGATGTATCAAAGTGGACAAGTAGTATTTACTTGAACGATGAATTTAACAAAAGTGAAACATAGAATAGCCTACACAACATCATATACTTTGGGCTATGGAACTATCAATTGCCTGAACTGATGTGATTGGCTTACTCTGTGGATAACTGCAAAAATAATACGGACACACATCATTAGGTGTGTAACTGATAAGAACATGAAGTTATGATGTATTGAAGAAGACATAGGTTTAAAACCTGGTTAATATATAAGTTCCACTTTCCACAACATAGATCCTATCCACAATGTAATTATTAATTGATCGTATATTTAATTTCATACGGATTATTATGTAACAATTATTGTATAGATGACACTGTCAATTTAGCATTGTAATATTACTATCATTGATTCAGTGAATGCCGCTGGCGGTTGATTGTAGATTCTTTTCCGTCGCATGAACATATAACTCTGATTGGTGTAGAACCTTAGGTCGGAGGTCCATGCGACTGCGTATCAGTACACCAATTGTTAATTTAGGATCCGATATAACAGGATATATACAGGCTGGTACATGAGTTTACTGTAACAAGATATAACGAGTTTTCGATTACGTTGAAAATATTAGATATCTTTTTATAATTTCTGACCTTTTTCAAAAGCTTTGCTCTAAATATAGTAATTCGTCCTTTTAATAGATATCGCCAGGCAGGCGCGTGCCAAATTCTTGGCTTCTGCCTCTCTCTTCCGAGACTGCTTCCTCTCTGCTAGTAATGGCAGATCCTGAATTCCTCACATAATTCAATCGCGATGCATTTTCCCTTTCTATCTTATAAACTGCTTTACTCATAAACCAAGGCGCTGAAGATCATTTCGAGGTAAAGTCGTTTAAGTCTCTAGGGAATCAAATGGCAGATATCTAATAATATCACAAGATGAGATAGCGGTAGAGTAGATATGGGCTTATCTTATTCTGTAGCAAAATTCATGCAAAAGCAATCAGGAGCTTTATAATAAAACAGTTTTGTATTATTCTTTCCTGATGATCGATCAGAATTTACATGCAAGATACTGCCAATAATATGGTAGTTAAATTCCTGGAATTTGTAGCATGTTACATTGGAATAATTACATTTACAATTGGAATCAAAGCAAAGTAATTCCTCAAAAATATTAATAATTGCAATAGTGTATGAGAGGTTTCACACAACATCGAAACAAATCAAAATTAAAATAAGAATTCATAGTAGAACAAACTAGAAAAATAAAAATGCGAAAGGGAAAATTTACAAAATTATAAAAATATCAAATTTAATCTCCTTTTACTGAAACTCCAATTCAGAACTTATCAGGAGGAAATGAGTTAAAGCTTCATAAAAGTAGATTAATATGTTTCGAAAACATGCTTCGTTCTCCTGATATGAACTAGTACTGTAATCTCAAATGTATACTGTAATCTAAAATGAACTAGTACTGTGAAAATTTCGAAAATATAACGCTGATTTTTGTTGTTTGACTTCTGAATTAAAATTCATATAAAGCCAAAAATCTAATCTCAAATGCACCAGAATTTTTCCTGCATGTTTTCGAAACACTCGGTAAAAAATAATAAAACATAATATTGTGCCAACTTAACAACGAAAAAAAAACTCTTTACGATATGCAAATTGACCATTAAAAAATTATTCTAAAACCATTATATGCAAATCTGAAATTCAAAAGCAATTACAAATAAAGAGCAAAACAAATATACTTTAAACCAAATTGTCATTTAAACAACACTCAAAGATTGGGTGGTCCTCGATTCTGCTAAACTAAACTTTTAATACCAAGAAAACGAAAAACGTTTCATACAGACTTCTAGAAAAAATAAAATCTAATCTGAGCCTTAAACAGCTGAAAATTGAAAACTTATTTGAAACAAAAACTGAAAAAACGCAAACTTACTGAATTCTTAAGACGACCTTCCTAACGTAAACTAACTGAATATTTAAGACGACCAAACTGTGTTCCTTGCAAAAGAAAGTAAAATTCTAAGCTGCTCTGGAGAAGCAAAAATTTTGTAGTTCTCGGAAAAAGTATGCGATAAGGTTCAAAGTGTCCAGTAGCAGAACTAAGTATTTTTTGAAATGTGCTCAAAATGTCCCATCTTGTTAAACTTTGTGTGTGTGGGGGGGGGGTGCCAAACGTTGGGTGCAGTGTGTAAAATTTATTACCGACGACTAGGATGATCGTCAACTCCAAAATGGCGGCGTAAGAAACTTTTAAAAGATGCTGTCCTCTGTAAAATCTTAAAACTTGAAAACAGAACTGGCTCAAAGTTGATGAAAAGGAAAAGTATAGGTTATAAAAGATAAATGTATTCACGTAATCGGGCTATAATACGTCTTTGAAACTAGAAGTTTTTTTAGTAAAAGCAAGATTTGCCAGTTATTGAATTTACAATATAATAGATAGATAAGAACAGAAGATAAACACGCCAATGTGACAATCAAAATCTCAATAACAACCTTGTATTTAGCGTACATACATTGAAACACTCAATCGATTTCGAGGGCAGCTAAAGGTCCCTCTTCATCAGGAGAACGAAATTACTAGAAAGGGAAAAAAAAGAAGAAAAATGAAGCATCGGCAAAGGAATCTCAACACGTGGTCGTTATCAGCACTGCACGTGGTCGTAACCGGATTTGGAATCAGAGTTACACTGGCCGCCTACTTATACTGAGCCAGGCTATCTGATCAAACATATAACACATAGACTAAAATGCAAAAAAATTTAGCGAAGACAAAAAATAGGTAGCAAGGGACAACTGCACTTTCACGCACCAAGTCTGAATTCTCCCGATGAGGAGGGACCTTTAGATGCCCTCGAAATCGATTGAGTGTTTCAATATATGTACGCTAAGTACAAAGTTGTTATTGCGATTTTGATAGTAGACAGATAGTATAAAATAATTAAAGGGTAAAGGGGGGAAAGAAACAAGGTCTTTGTACATATTTACCTTACATTTCTTATCGTAGTCATTCAGCTATTACCTCCGATTAAGGTTTATGTAATAATTATCATATCACTTTAGATGAGAAATTAAAAAAAAGTAAATACCAGCTTTCTTTAAAGATATAGAAATTTTGAATAGAAGTGTTTTATTCTCTAAGAGAATTTTGTGGTTTCTTTAAGTTAGTGATTTTTTCTTGAAAGCATTCAACATTATTGCAAATCGTCTGCTGCACATTCCTATACCCAACAGTGTCCGCTGAACTGTGCATTCCGAAACACTTGTACTTGGACCTACATTGTATTAGACTGTCAGTTGAGGCATTATCTAGCG